CATAGAACACAAGAATAGATGAATCCTTTAAGAGAAAGAAATAGGGGTGAGCGTTCGATCAAGTTGAGTCGAGTAAATAAATATTGAGTTATTCGAGTTGATGAGTCCTATTTAACAATTCGAAGTTAATTTAAAATTTCTTCGAGTCGAGTCGAGTTTATAAAATTGGAGTCGAGTCAAATTTTTGAGTTTCTATTTAAATTTAAATGTAAATATTTATAAAATTATGATATTATTTGATTTCAATTTAAATGGTCTTTTATAACCATGTACAATACATGTATATTTTTTCGTATTTTTTTCATATGTGATATACATATATCATAAAAATTCAAGGAACTCGACTCAAATTTAAAAATTAATCCACTAATTACTAAAAATTTTGAGGCGAGTAAGGTGATAAGATCGTTTGGGAAAAATTGCGTTACGGTGATCATCTTCAATATTCCAGAGTTTTTTCATCATCAAGGACTTTGGCTTATCTTATACAAATATGGTGAGGTGGTTGACTCTTTCATCCCTAATAAAAGAAGCAAGGGAGGAAGTAGGTTTGGTTTTGTTCGCTTCACCAGATTGGAGGACGCGAGGAAGGCTATCAACTGTGTTAATAGATCCAGGATTCAAGGTAATAAAGTTAGAGTTTTCATGGCGAGATTTCAACTTCGTGAAGCTTTCTGGAGAAAGAAGTTCTCTGGTACAATATCAGCCGAGGACAAGAGTAGAGTGGAGGATGATAGTCATTCAGAGGCTCCCATTGTCAGTTTTGTTGACGAGGAAAAACTCTTAACTCTCAGAGATAGCTTGGTAGGTTGGTGCAGAAAATTTATAAAAATGAAAGAGTTAGTTGCTATTATGCACAAGGAAGGCATTTTAGGTCCGAAAATTATGAGGTTAAGCGGGTTAGCAATTTTAATCAGATTTGAAGATGAAGAGAGTAGGTATTATACTCTAAATAATCAGATTGGGGCATTGAAAAACTGCTTTGACAAAGTGGAAGTATGGTCGGAAAATTTTCAGTGCAGCAGCCGTCGGGCATGGCTATCGTGCAAAAGGATCCCACCGTTTGTATGGAGTCATTCCACCTTCAGAAATATTGCAAGAAAATGGGGAGAACTTATCTCCATTGAAGAAGGGACCTTGAATCCCGGATCGTTTGATACGGCTTTGTTTCAGATTATTACGAACTGCCAAGTTTGCGTGGAAGAAACTTTTGATTTGAAAGTCAGGGAATGGACTTATACAATAAATGTTTCTGAGTTTGAACCTTGTTTCAGCCCAGAATATGTCTGGGTAGATTCATTTTTGTTGGAAAAGGTTGTTGCCAATCCGTTATCCACAGTGGGAGAGCTCGTTGGTGTTTCATCAGTAAAGTCTCCCGAGTTGGAAGAGACTCGTATGTTCTTAGACGGCTCAATGATGAGGGGTGAAGTGTGGTGCACAGATGCAGTGGAAGCGACTGTAATTCCATTGATTGCCAAAGAACATGCTGTTGGTATAGGTCCCGAGGCAGATTTTAATATGGCAGCTTCGCATGCTCCGCTATGCCAGAGGAGCGTTAATGTCAATGAAATGAAGACAGCTAGTATGGGGCTAGTGGAATGTGAGGTAGGTGCTACAGGCGTGGGTTTCGAGGGAGGTTTGGATGGGCAGAAGCAGAATGTGTCGAGTACTCAGAGGTGTGATAATATTTATGGTTTCTCGGTAGGTGGTGCAGTGCATGCAGGAGTTAACGTGGAAGGTATGGGTGTCGCAGAAGAAGGGATGCACTATGTTCCCATCTTTTCTAATTGTGGGCCAGTGGAGCAACACATTATTGATGAGAGTGTTGGGCTAATATCAATTAATAGGGATCCGGGTTTTATATGGGCGTCCAAATCTATTTCCAATTGCTCAAGGTTTCTTAAGGTGCCTATTGTTGAGGTGTCTTCCATCAGATTTTTGGATGAGGTTAATTCTACTGAAAACCATGTTAGAAGGTTTGGGAATGGCAAGAAGAGGAATAATGATCCTCTTAATTCATTTGTTGATTAGTCACAAAATTCAAGCTCGTGGGGGGCGAATCGGGTCAGTCTTAAAATTTCCAAGAGGTTATTCAACGCGAAAAGGAAGAAGCACGATTTCAAGGGTAGATATGCAAGTTTAAATGTTAGTAGCAGCGGTAAATATAATGGATTTAAAGGTGGGAAGCACGATGGTGGCAAGGAGGGCGTAACCACAAAAGCGGTAAAGGCTCTTATTGTTGAAGATGCTTTAGGGGTGGAATTCGTGGGGCTGAGAGGGGACATCTTGAAGAGGTTGGAAGCGCTTAGATCAAATGGGGTTATGGGCAAATTACTTATGGTCGAGGTTGTTACCAGTGGTTTCTGATTTTATTTGCAATCCGGAAGCTATCGTTCGTGGTGTGTTGATGGAGATTTTTGGTGCTGCGTAATAGTGCTGCTAGATTCAAACTTAGGGTGGTCCATTTCGGGTAGTGTTTCCGAATTGAAAACGGAGAAAAAGTTGAATATTTTTGTTTGGTTATTTGGTGCTCGTTTGGTTCGATGCTTACTTGTTGGTGCTGGCACATTCAGTAGTGGGTGAAGGATTTTTTCATCCTACTTTTGATTTTGGCTCTTCTATTTCTAATACAGAACGCTTGATTTCAAACGTGTCTTCTGTCGAGAGTCTTTCCATCGGTGGTTGCATTAATTTTCCGTTAATCAAGATGCTTTCGATCTATACATGGCTCATCCATCTCTTTTGTTGTTCTTGTAGCCATGCTGGGGTATGCATAGTGGTTCAGTGGCGTTGTATCCAGGTTTTATGTTTCTGATCAGTTCTCTGAATTAACTAATCACTTGTTGTCTCGACTCTTGCCCGGTGTTATCTGCCTAAGGTCTATTATCTTATGTATTTTGCTCTAATATGTCGGGGTCCTGTCTTACCTTCTTTCTAGATTAATAAGTTGTGGTGTTTTATCTAGTAACCATTGTTAGGCTTATGCCCAACTGTCTTATGTTTCAGAGGTTGTAGCTTGGTTTTGTTCTACGTTTGGATGTGTGTAGTTCCTTTTTGTATTTCCTACAGGGGGTAGTATGTAGCTATATTGATGTAGCTTGTTACGGACTATTCTAGTGGTGTAGTTCATGGCTTTTGTTCCTGTTGTAATAGGGTTCTTGATCGTACCTTTTTTCCATCCCAAGGTTCACTCTTTTTCCTCTACTTAGGATTAAGGAGGTTTTTTAATGAGGTCTTTGGGGTGGTGTACTTTGTGATATCTAAGACAAAGTACCCATTTTTCAAAAAATAAAAATATACAACTTGATTTAAACTTAAAATTTTTTTGAGTTGAGTCGAGTTTATGAAATTACAACTCAAAATCAATTTGAGTCGAATTTTCTCGAGTTGAGTCAAGTAAAAAAATTGATTTTTTCGAGTCTAATCGTTGTTTTACTCACCCCTAAAAAAGAGTTCATACTAACATACCTTATATGCTAAAAAAATAAAGACAATGATATCATGATCATGTGCTTATATGTGGATAATATCATTTTCATCGGAAACAATCTAGATATATTTAATTATTAAAAAAAACTATGACTAAAGAATTTAAAATGACATATATTGATGAAATGTCATCCTTTCTTGGACCCAAGGTGAAATAAATGCAAGATGAATATTTATATCTCAAGAGAAGTTCGTAGAGAAAATTTTAAGCAATTTCAGAATGAGAAATTGCAAGTAGGTAGCCACTCCAGCAAAACCAAACATAGAATTAAGTATTGATTCAATGAGAGTTAATAAATTCGACATTGTTTAAAAGCATCATTAAAAGTTTAAGTTACATGACCATCACACGATTATACATAATATATGTTGTGAAATTGATAAGTATATTATTGGAGAAGCCAAAATAAGATCATTAGATTACAACAAAGGGGATTTGAGTTGTCAAATGTATAATAAATCGTGGTTTGTTTTACACACATTTATAAAATAAAAATTTGATTGATTATTTCAAATTACAAGGGAGATTTAAATGATCGGAAAAACACTTCTAAATATCTATTTCATATCGACTTTACAACATTTGCATGATCATCAAAGAAATGACAAACAATAACGCTTTCAACATATAAAGCATAGTATATAGCTGCTGCACTATGTACTTACAAAACAATATGGTTAAAGAATATCTTGGATGAGTTATACTTTGCACAAAAAGAATGAATTATAATTTACGTTGACAATGAACCTACAATATCTTTTATAAAGAATTTAGTCTTTTATAGTCAAAAATAAATAAATTGATACGTACACAACATCATTTTGTAGGAGAGCGGTTAAAGAATAAAACATGAAATGAATCTATTTAAGGATAAAAGATCAACTACAAAGTCATTGATAACAGAAATATTCAATAAACTAAAAGAAAAGTAGAGAAAATGCTCGAATTCAAACTTGATTAGAAAATCCATGATGTCTTGGTGGATAATATATATGATAAGACTTGGTCATATTTGATGGTATAAAGATAAATTAAGAAGACATGAAAATAAAATAAAATGACTTGAATTATCGTAGAAATCACATGTTAAATATGTGTATACGTTGAGATTTCATGAAAACTTTAGTAGTAACCTTATCAAGTTGGTCTAATAGACCTATGAATATAAGTTAATGTGTTGTACAAGATAAAAAGAGAAATAAGGGAGTGGTGTCCAGGTCGAGAGACAAAGAGTATGTTGGTTACGAAAGTTTAATAGTCCTAGAAGATATTATACTATATTTTAAAAAAAATAACAATCAAGGACCTAATTCAGTTTAATTGATTTTTAAGCGAAGCGAACCATAGGTGATTGAGGGAGAGAGAGCAGATGGAAAACAAAACTCAAAGTTAGGGAAGGGAAGCCGTTATTGTTGATCATTTTATGATGCCAGAAGCCACGAACTAACAGCTGAATAAATCCATCAGATCTGCGACGTCTTGTTGATTCGATCCTACATTTTCTTCTACCTTTTTTTTAAAAAAAGGTTAGATTAGCAATGGATTTCATGAAGGCCTTCTATCAGACTGTTCGCGAAATGTAAGCTTAAACTCATTTGTTCCTAATCTTGAATCATAATTTGGTTGACCATTGTTTATCAACAAAGGTTACTTGATTTATTTATTCTTAATTTCAGAAAGAGGGAGGTCAATCTAAAAGTTTTGAAAGTTCCGGAGATTGAGCAGAAGGTGAGATTTAATGCATTTGATTGGTGAGATTTAATGCATTTGATTGGAGGAGTATGCTTAAGATCTGATCATTTTTAAGTCGTTGTTAGATTCGTTTAATTTGCTTTCAAAAGAAAAGTGCAACGTTATGGTTTGGTGAACAAGGTAGAGATTTTGCACGGGTTGAGAGTAAAATTAGAATATGTTCGCTATAGAATCATATTCATCTTTGAACTTGAGGTTTCTTAGATGATCGAATGCTCAGGTTGAACATGAGTGTTTTCAGCATTTCTGGCAATCCTGTTGGCTTCATTTGACCTTCATGTAAAATTGTTTTCTTTTAAATATTAATATGGTTAAATAATTTCACGGTTAATATACGCAGGTATTGGATGTAACGGATAATGAACCATGGGGTCCTCATGGTGCTGCATTGGCAGAAATAGCTCAGGCCACAAAGAAATTGTAGTTTTTATTTTTTATGCCCTTTGTTTGAAAATATTCTGCTGCTGCATGCTAATTGAATGGGGTATCATATCTTTCAGCTCTGAATGTCATATGGTTATGAATGTTCTTTGGTCAAGATTGGGTGAGACTGGAAAAGACTGGCGATATGTCTACAAGGTATGTGTCTTCTTCCCTAATATGATTGCCTAGTCATCTAATACAGTCTAAACTTTTAATGTATTCCAAATCTGGTGCACCATTTTCATGCCCTGAATATCTAAAACTACTCTACCAGGCGTTGTCTGTTATTGACTACTTGATTTCTCATGGGTCTGAACGTGCAGTCGATGACATAATAAGACATACTCTCCGCATCTCTGTAAGTCCTGAACCCTTACATTTCCTGTAAGTTTAACTGCCCGTAATATCCCCTACTTATTTTGCATTTTGCAGTCACTCACAAATTTTGAGTATGTTGAGCCAAGTGGGAAAGATATGGGAATCAATGTTCGAAAGAAAGCAGAAACCATAGTGAGCCTTTTGAATAATAAAGAAAAAATAGAAGATGCTAGAAATAAAGCTGCTGCAAACCGTGACAAGTAGGTTTATTTTAAGCAAGTTAAATGGTTATAATAATTAAACACCCCCTAACTATTTCACTTGTTCTTAAATAAGTTCCTGTACTTTTATTGTACCCAATTGAGCCCTTAGCTTTTGATTTGTACCTTAACAAGCCCTTATTTGATTTATATCAAAGGTTTGTTTAGATGTAAATTTAAAGTTAAAAAAAATAATGTTAAGAGCTTATTTGGGTCAAATCAAAGGTTAAGGGCTTATTCAGGTGTATAAGAAACATAGGGGCTTATATAGATAAAACAACAAAATCCAAGATTTTTTTAATTTCAATTTTAGCCAAGTGAAATCGTATGCTTGCTTGTAGGTTTTCATTGATTAAAAAACTGTCCGTTGCTATTTCTAGGCACATCGGCCTGTCATCTACTGGTGTCACTTTTAAGTCTAGTGCATCCACATATAGTAGTAAAAGCTTCCAAGGTGGTGGAGATAAGTATGGAGGCATAAGTAGCAGAAGAGAAAGTAATAGCTACGGAGACAGTTATAAAGTGAGGGACCGATACGGAGAAATAAAATTTGATGCAGATACGTATGTGCAGTCACGTCGAGAGACTGAAAGTCAGAGCCAAGCAAATTCCTCAAAGGAGTCTAGGCGCCATGGCAGGTTTATCTTTTATGCTATTAATTGTTAATTACAAATTCTTCGATGGATTGTGGGGGTGTATATATTGCCATTATGCTATTAAGTTGGAAAAAATTTCCTGGGCATGTAGATTTTCATTGTTTGTGAACTCTTTCGTTATTGCCTTATTGGTATATTTCTTACCAAGTTTGATTCTATGAATCATATTGTAATTGTGAATCCATTTAGTTTAGATGATGATTCCTTTTCCTTTATCCATGCTACCTCCATTTAGAAAGTTCAAGGTTTATAACTAAAACATGTTCATCTTGTTCACACCTTGCAAACATAAAGTCCGATCTTCACAATTTTATATATGTGTTTTCGCAACCTTACATGTACACATATTCAAGATTTCCAACTTTTTACCTCACCGTTTCATATCTTTTTATTAGGGAAAAATATCATATTTGTAATATTGTTTTACAGAAAGGATCCAAAGGATGAACTCTCTCCAAAATTGAGTGATTCTTCCAAATACAATCAAAGCATAAGCTCCCCAATAAGTAATCATGATGACGACGATGATTTTATTCCCAGGGGAACTTCTAATTCTAGTAAGATAAAAATTTTGGATCTTAAGTTGAGAATACTTTTTTTTTTGAAAGAGGGGTACTTTGTATTACGAATAAATGCAAAGTATATCACCTTATGGCCCTCATTAAAAAACCTTCATATCCCTAAATGGAGGAAAAAAAGTGAACCAAGAGGTGGAAAGATCGAATACAGAATAAACTGTAACAACACACAAGGCATACCCCAAGCCACAACCCAACTCAAACTAACACCAATACCAACCCTACAACATAACGAAAATAGAATGAGATGGACGACCATAAAACTGATCTACAACAAACACAACAACAATGGAGAGGAACCGAACAACAGCAGAAACCAAGATCACCAACTCTGCTAACAACACTAACGAAACACCATGACTACATCAATCTTCAACCTAGCACACAAAACACATCATTCAAACACTCCCCAACGCCATTAGATAAATTCAACAAACAATCACTCTCCTAGAAAGATAAAGACTTCTGCAAATCAGAATCAAACGCCAAATACTTCATCGGAGGTCTTCCCTTTATTATTATGTTATAAATGTTGTTTCTGCTAGTACATCTATTAACAGGTTGAGGATTGATTAAAAAAATGTTCTTTGCTCCTTCTGTTGTGGAATTAGGGTTAATTTCCACCAATAATAACAAATTCACCTTGAAAACTATTATCTAGGTGACTAGTGTGAAAATAATTGTACTAAAAATCACCCAAGATAGATTCCCAGGAAAGAGTGAAGGGGTCACAATGGTCCCTCTTAAAACCCACTCTCCTTAGACAAAACTACCAAGACAAGTAATTTTAATAGGACAATAATTAACAACAACTATACCCGACAATAGCTATTAAATAGACATAAAAGAGAACACCAATATTTAACGAGGTTAGGCCAAAATTATGCCTACATCCTCGAATACTAGTAAAATAATATTTCACTAATAGAGAAAATATTACAAAGAGAGAGAAAGAGTACAAATAGCCTTTAATATAGAGGAAGGCTTATATTTGTGGGATGTTAAACTAAGGAGGAGGAGGGCTCTATTTATAACAAAAGAATTTTCCCTCCTCCTTAAACAAAACCAATGTGGGATTCAAAATTTGTCAAAAAACCAAAAAATCTCCACCTTGGCAAATTCCACACACATCTCTCAAAAATCCAATCTTCAGTAGTGTCTGCAAATTCATCTTTCAATTTGTAACAATATTGACCAAGTCTAAACAATATTTAAACTTGACCGCAGTTACCACTTTTGTCAACATATCAGCAGGATTCTCAGTAGTCCGAATCTTCTGGATTATGACTCCACCTTCTTCTAGAATCTCTCGTACAAAGTGATATCGAACATCGATGTGCTTCGTCTTTGCATGGTAAACCTAGTTCTTTGCTAAATGAATAGCACTCTGACTGTCACAATGCACTTTGATGTGCTTTCGTTCCATTCCCAATTCACCGAGCAACCCTTGAAGCCAAATTGCCTCCTTCACAGCCTCTATAAGTGCCATATACTCTGCCTCTGTAGTAGACAAGCCACTGTTGACTGTAAGGTGGACTTCCAACTGACTGGTGCTTTTGCAAATGTAAACACATAACCAGTAGTTGATCGACTCTTGTCCAAATCACCTGCATAGTCTGAATCACAATACCCAACTACACACTGACCATCTTGTTTGTCATGCTGAAAGACGAAACTAACATCTATGGTGTTCAGAATATACCGCAGAATCCATTTCACAGCTTGCCAATACTCCTTTCCAGGATCATGTATATACATGCTCACAACCCCAACTGCCTATGAAATATCGGATCTCATACACACCATTGCATACATCAAGCTACCAACAACACTTGCATACGGAACCTTTGACATGTATTCCCATTCTGCATCATCCTTAGGTGACATGGATGCACCGAGCTTGAAATGAGGAGCAAGAGATGTACTAACTGGTTTTGATTTCTCATTCATGCCAAAACGTTTTAGTACCTTCCTCGGATATTCTTTCTGAGACAAACAAAGCCTCCCCAATTTCTTATCCCTTGATATCTCCATGCCTAGAATCTTATTCGCTTCACCAAGATCCTTCATCTCAAACTCCCTGTTCAATTGAGTATTTAGTTTCGCAATTTCTGTCTAACTCTTGGAAGCTATCAGCATATCATCAACATAAAGAAGAAGATATATATAAGATCCGTCTTGTAGCTTGTGTAAATACACACAATGATCATATTTGCTTATTGTGTACTTCTGTCCTATCATAAACTTGTTAAATCGCTTGTACCACTGCCTTGGAGATTGCTTCAATCCGTACAAAGATTTTTCTAATTTGCACACCATCTCTTCTTTTTCAATAACTTTGAATCCATCTGGCTGAGTCATGTAGATTTCCTCATCCAAGTCTCCATGTAAAAATACAGTTTTTATATCCATCTGAACTAGTTCCAAATCCAACTACGCTACTAAAGCCAACAAAATTCTGATGGAGGAATGTTTTACAACTGGAGAAAATACTTCATTATAATCAACTCCCTCCGTTTGAGCGTAGCCTTTAGCCACCAATCTTTCTTTGTAGCGGATGTTATTCTTGTCAGGAAATCCATCTTTCTTTACATATACCCACTTGCACCCAATTGCCTTCTTTCCCTTCGGAAGACTAGCTAGTTTCCACGTTTGATTCTTTTGAAGGGATTGCATTTCTTCATACATGGCGATCCTCCACTTTTTATGTTCTAAACTTTGGACTGCTTCATTAAAAGTGGCAGGAACGTCTTCAATTGCAATTGGTGATACAAAAGAGACCATATCAGCATAACGAGCAGGTTGTCTAATGGTCATCTTTCCCTTTCTAAGTGCAATTGATTTATGTTGCTGTGGAGGTTTTTGGGTTTGAACCTCTTCTTCATCTGACTCTTCTTCTACCATAGGAGAGTTAACATCAGTTTCTTTACTGGCTGGGACAATTCTACTTCCTTCAAACTCCACCTATTTGGGAGTTCAGTCTGTCTGCTCCAATTTTTTCTGAAGTCACATTTCTCAACATGGTAGATTCATCAAAGGTAGCATCCCTGCTAAAGATTATTTTCTTTGTTTCTGGACACCAAAGACGATAATCTTTCACACCAGAGGCGATCCCCATAAAGATCGCCTTCTTTGGTCTTGGATCCATCTTTGACTCCTTAACATGATAGTATACAGTGGAACCAAACACATGTAAGGAATCATAATCTGTAGCAGGTTCTCCAAACCATTTCTCTAATGATATTTTACCTCCAATAGCAGTCGATGGTAAGCGGTTGACAAGGTGACAAGCATAGACCAAAGCCTCAGCCCAAAATTCTTTGCCTAACCCAGCATTAGACAACATACACCGAACCTTTTCCACTAATGTTCAGTTTATACGCTCTGCCACCCCATTATATTGTGGTGTATATCTGACAGTGAAGTGCCTGACATTACCTTCTTCTTCACAGACTTTCAGAAATGGATCATTTTTGTACTCTCCACCATTGTCTGTACGGAGACGTTTGATTTTTTTGCCTGTTTGAGTCTCCACCATCTTTTTCCATTTAAGGAAAAATCCTAGCACCTAATCCTTTGTCTTCATTGTATACACCCAAACTCTCCGGGAAAAATCATCAATAAAGGTGACATAATAGTGTGTTCCTCCCAGTGAAGTTGTATTGGAATACCCCCATACATCTGAATGAACATAATCCAAAATACCTTTAGTATCATGGATTGTTGTTCCAAATTTCACCCTCGTCTTCTTCCCTTTGATGCAATGCTCACAAAAAACTAATTTGCAAGCCCGAGCACCCTTCAATAATCCTTGATCTATCATCAATTTCAAGGATTTTTCACCAACATGCCCCAAGCGCATATGCCATAACCTGGTTGCTTCTGACTCCTGTTCACCAGTAGAAGATGTCACTGTTGATGTCCCAACAATTGTACTACCCAGAAAGTAATACACATTGTTTATTTTCCGGATTCCCTTCATTATCACCAGTGCACCAGAGATAATCCTCATTATCCCATCTTTTGCCCTCATTTCTAAACCTTTTGACTATAAGGTTCCCATAAAGATGAGATTTCTCATTAAATCTGGTACATAATGGACACCTGTTAAGGTTATGATTGATCCATCCTAATTCCTCAAGCAAATTGAACCAATCCCAAGTGTGTCAAGAGGGGAATTATTTGCTGTGTAGACAATTCCACCTTTTAGTTCTTTAAAATCAAAGAACTATTCTCTATTGGGGTTCCTATGGTGGCTACAAGCTGAATCTAATAGCCATGAACTGGAACAGCTGGTTGATGGCGTAGCAACGAATACGAAATCTGAATCTGCATCATCATACTCGACCACATTTGACTCTGAGACAGCCTTTCCCCTTTCAGGTTTGCCTTTATTCTTTAGTCTGGGACATTATTTCTTCTAGTGCCCTTTTTCTCGACAAAAGGCACATTCATCTTTGCTCAATCTGGACTTTGACTTCGATCTCCCTCTCCTTCTTTTATTCTAACTTTTCGAACGACCTCTAACAACAAGAGCTTTTGCTTTGACACTTGTGTTTTCTTGTTTGTCTTTCTTTCTCAATTCATAACTATATATGGCAGCAGTTACTTCATTGAGAGACACATCAACCTTCCCATGAAGTAGAGTAGTTTCAAGATACTCAAACTCATCAGGAAGTGATCCCATCAACACCAGAGCCAGATCTTCGTCTTCAAAAGTCACGTCCATATGCATCAGATCAGTCACCAGCTGATTAAAGTTAGTAATGTGGTCATTCATAGTGGTATCTGGTACATAATTGAAGCGGAACAATCTCTTTTTTATGTAGAGCTTGTTCTGACCGTTTTTCTTCAAAAATTTCTCCTACAGTGCATTTCACAATTTACTTGCAGAAGTTTCCTTAGAAAATACATACTTCTGCTCTCTAGAAAGACACAATCGAATAGTAAATGACCAGTGCCATAAAAAATCTCCACTGCAAATCTAACATTTGTCACAGCATTTCTTGTCAAAATTGAAGATAAAAAAGTTATTAACGACGATGTGGATGTTTTTATGTTGTCTGTCATTTCTGCTACAAATTTTATTTAATAGATGTCAATGCGGAATGTCAATTAGCCCAAGGAAATTTTTTTCTGATGTGGAAGATCAGCCTAAGTCACAACCACAGAGCATACTAAAATAAACCGAGAGCTCTGATACCAATTGTTGTGGAATTCGGGTTAATTTCCATCAATAATAACAAATTCACCTTAAAAACTATTATCTAAGTTACTAGTGTGAAAATGATTGTACTAAAAATCACCCCAGGGTAGATTCCTAGGAAAGAATGGAGGAGTCACAATGGTGTCTCTTAAAACCCACTCTCCTTAGACAGAACTACCAAGACAAGTAATTTTAATAGGACAATAATTAACAACAACTATACCCAACAATAGCTATTAAATAGACATAAAAGAGAACACCAATATTTAATGAGGTTAGGCCAAAATTATGCCTAAGTCCTCGAATGCTACTAAAATAATATTTTACTAATAGAGGAAATATTACAAAGAGAGAGAAAGAGTACAAATAGCCTTTAATATAGAATAAGGCTTATATTTGTGAGATGTTAAACTAAGGATGAAGAGGGCTCTATTTATAATAAAAGAATTTCTCCTCCTCCTTATACAAAACCAATGCGGGATTCAAAATTTGTCAAAAACCAAACACCTTCCTCCTCTGTAATAGATTTTAGATTGTATATCTTTTACCAATGCACTGTTGTTTATTCTTTTGGCAGATCCAGCGACTGGAAATTCTAACATAGTAGATCTGTTTGGAAAAAGTTTGATTGATGACTTCTTCGATGAACCAACGTCTGTTCCTATGGAGAAGACTGCAATTAATACTAATTCAGCTGAAGTTGATCTATTTGCTGATGCAACTTTCCTGTCAGCTGAAACTGAATCAAGTCCTCAAGCACAGGTCTGACTTTTTCTTTAATCTAATTTTTGGGAATGTAACAATTTAATGTTCCTATCATGAAACATGAAATACAATATGATGTTCCTTTACCTTGAAATGTCGGATGATCTGTTAAATATACCAGCCCAATGATCTTTTATGGCCATGTTTACAAGCAGCTTGTGGTGGTAACATATATACGGTCTGATTTTTAGTTGGATATTAAGGCGTATCTTTTGATTATGAGCTGAAATCAGCTTCCCTTTTCTCGTATGAGGAGAAACAGGTTGATCTATCTGCTTCCCAGCTTGCCATTGCTCCTGCAGCCCCTCCAACTGTTGATCTCTTTGCGGTCACTGATTCAGTTGTCCAACAAGACACCATGGCATCAATGTCTGAGCCAGCAAATTCTATCATTGTTGATCCATTTGCTATTGTTCCACTGAACAATTTTAATGAATCACATGACATTTTTGGTTCACTCACTTCTCATCTTGATTCGGCTTCAAAAGAAGCAGCACAAAATTCAACTAATGATGGATCATCAGACATTTTTGGTTCATTCACTTCTCATCCTGATCCAGCTTCAATAGAAGCAACACAAAGTCCGATTAATGATGGAAACCTCAACAACATGAACACAAAACCCTCACAAGAATCCAAAGCACCTCAAAAGAAGGATACTCTCCAGCTGAAGTCTGGCATTTGGGCAGATTCTCTGAGTCGTGGAATAATCGATCTTAATATCTCTGCTCGTAAGTGTCCCTCATTATCCACCTTCTCTTTGTTTAATATTATGCATCTTTTTGACTGGTTCACTGTCATGTGAAAACCTTGCAGCCAGTAAGGTTTCATTGCTAGATGTTGGCATCCTCGGTGGATTGAGTGACGCAGATAAAAGAGCAATGGGAACCAGCTCCGGTATCGGAAAACCTGGATTCACATCTGAAGCTGACATTTTTGGTAGATTTAAGAAGTAATTCCCCCCCCCCTTTCATTTTTCATTATCCAACGTAACAATGAGCACTCTCTACTGTTTACGAAAACAGTAGGCTTGACGCCGACTAATACCCTATGGTCAGCGTACCGTTCCAAGATTTTAGCCACTAACTGCTTGTTTCTGGATCCTGGCAATAAAAAACTCAAACAAACCAAATTCAAATAAAAAAATAAGAAAATATTTTCACATGATTTGGTAGGTTCAAGCTAATAAGATTGTTAGTTGTTATCGTTAAAGTAATGATGTGGAATTTTTGTAATTATTCATATAGTTAGGGTAGTTATACAAAAATCTAATAAATCGTATTTAACCAATAGTAAATTTATACATAAGTTGAATGTTTATCATTGTTTAAAGAAAGAAAAATTATCATATATTCTATAATTAATAATACTATCAATCTGAATTTACTAATAATATTATAAAAATGGATGAATTAATTGGACATGTTCGTTGTCATTAAATTGATGATATAATTTTTTATTTATAGTAATTCGATTGTAAAATTAGATCATTTGAAAATTTATTTAATAAATAGAGACTAATAAAGTCAGAGGTTGGTTCAAATGGTAAGCAATTTAATACATCTTAAACGATGTTTTAAGTTCAAGTCATTGTGTATACAGAAAATCCCTGCAGTGAGACTCGGCTACCAAATCTGAGCGTAAAATACGATTTGGTCCGAATTAGTTAAGACGAAATTTAGACATAAAGAGCACCAATTTTTTTTTAATATATCGGTGTTACTCCAACGACAGCTTGGGAGCTTATCTGAACGTAATCACTGCAAGTAGACCGAAGGAGCATATGGAAGTAACCGTTATCTTTAAAATTTCAAATTAACCTATATTTTAAATATTTTCAATTGATGGCTTATTTTCATGTATTAAAATTTTAAAATTTGTTCCCTTAAAATTTTAATGGCAAAGAATATAGGTTTAATGAATCTTTCTCTGCAAGTGAAGTCAAAGCAACCCCTAGTCTTCTATGAATCTTTATGCTAATAAAGACATATAGGCTTAATGATGGAACTAATTTGCAGATTTTCTCTTCTTTTTATATGAAAAGCTTTTTATTTAGAAAAAATAATTAGTGACTGAAAATGACTTATAATATATGATTTTAATCAATTTTTTTTGGATTTGTCAAAATTACCAACAAATTCGCAACGCGAACTCCAATTTCGCAACCCAATTTCTAAATTCGCAACGCGAATATGTAAATCGCATTGCGATTTTCCAAATTCGCAACACAAAAGTCAAATTCGCAACGCGAATTTGTAAATCGCAATACAGAAGTCAAATTCGCAACGCGATAGTCAAATTCGCAACGCGGAATTTCAAATTCGCAACTGAATTTCAAATTCGCAACACGAATTTAATTTCGCAACAGGTTTTAGTTTCGCAACACAAATGTTTTGGGTATATAACAACGCAACAGCAGTAACTCATAACCTAAATCCCTAAATTGCAACTCATTCCATCTCCATTTATCACTCTCTCCGGCGACATCCGTTCCTATTTCCAACATCCTTCCCCATCTCTAATTTTTTTATATAATTTTATTTCTATATAATTTTTCAATGATTTCTCTCCCAAATTATCAACTATCAACTTAATAAAGGTATGTTTTTCTCTAAGTTAGTGATGATATCTAGTTTATAGCTCTTTTGTTTAGTAAATTAATTTACAATTTGTAGAATGAAATCATCTAATGTTGATCATGTTTGGATAGATTTGTGTTTTGGAGGGTCATGGGAGAATGTTCATGGTGTTTTACAATATGTGCCTTTACCCATAAATCTTCAACTAAAACTGTCATTAAAAAAGTTAACTTATGAAACTCTAATGTTACGTGTTGCAAAGAAATTGAATTTAGAGCCTCTAAGTGGATTTAGGCTATCTTATCAGAGAAAATGTAAAGTTTATTTGTTAACCGACAATGAAGATGTTGAACGATTCATTGCTTACATTAGTGTTTCGCAAGAAGATGATGTTACATTGTATGTTGTTGAACCTAGAAGTAGTGAAGTTGGGTCAGTAACGGGTAGTAATCAACTAAGTTCTTCAACCCCAGTTTATGGTGCTCACAATGTACAACGTTGTTATCAACCTCAAAATTTAATGGTTCCACCACAATTTCATCACCAAGAAAATTTTGTTTCACCACATTTCCAATACCAAACACAATCTCAAAACCCACAACCTTTTCCTAATCCAAATCCCAATCAACTTTCAGCACCAAATTCTGATTTTCGTATTGACCAGTTAGACGATTATGAGACAATATAAAAAATTGTGAGTACTAGTCAGTATTCAAAATTTGATCTTGGTCAATACCCAGACTTTGATCTTGGTCAATACCCGGATTTTGATGATGTGATGGAAGAAGAAACAGACCCTGCATGTAATGATTTTGATATTGGTCAATACCCGAATTTTGATGATGAAACAGCCGCTGTCGAGGAAGATGTTGTTAATGATAATGAGGAGGAAGTTACGACTGTGAATGTGAATGAATATGTTGAACATCCATTATGTAATTCATATAACCCTGAAGAAGAAGAAGAAGAAGTCCCTGAAGAAAAGAAAAAGAAAAAAATGCCACGGGAGTATAACTAGAATATGCCAGAATTACTTCAGATATCGGAAGAAGAGTTGGTAAAGATAGCAGTTGATTGTTACACAAAAGTTATTCGTATCAAGAAAGATGATTGTTTTGATACAAAGGAAGAATTGAAGATAGCTTTGTATACGAAATGTGTGGAAGATGGCTATCAAATAAAAGTTAACAAATCAAGCAAAGATCGTTTCGAAACAAGGTGTATGATTGAAAAAAACTGTACGTGGTGTATGATTGCAAAGAGGATAAAATATTACGAAATGTTTCAAGTTAGGACTTTTATTGATAAACATACATGATCAAGAACCCAAGTTTTTCCTCACCATAGACAGACAAACAAAAAGGTGTTGGGTGGTTTTCTGGCTGAGTTAATGTTTTTGAATGGAAGGGTATATCGGGGACATGAAATTATGACTGACATGAATGCTCGGTTCAAGATTAGTATCTCATATTCTCAAGCTTAGAGAGCCAATTATTATGCCTTGGAATTGTTGAGGGGGTCGCCAGAAGCATCATTTGCCCAACTGACTGCTTATTGTCACAATTTAAAGCTGAAAAATCCTGGGTCGGTAACTCATATCAAAACAGATAGAGATTGACGCTTTGAGTTGCTGTTTATCGCCATTGGTGCTGCGGTTAGTAAATAATTATAATTTTGTTGACTCATTTTTGTTAGTTGTATGCATTTCACATTTAAATGATTATATTTCTTGTGTATATGATTTTGTAGATTCGTTTATTTATTACTTGCATGCGCCCAGTTATTATAGTTGACGGAGCACATTTGAAAGGTCGATACCTTGGAGTAAACTTATTAGCAGTAGCCATGGATGCTAACAATGAGATACTGCCAATAGCTTACGGGGTTGGCAAATCTGAAACCTCTGATTCATGGACATGGTTTATGGGGCATCTTAGGGATTGCATAGGTCCTATTAGCAATCTGACAATCATATCCGATAGGGCAAACTCAATTGACAACGCTGTTAGAAGGTGTTTCTCATATGCTTTTCATGGACTTTGTGGTGTTCATTTGTATAGAAATCTAAAATCAAGGTCTGCTGGTATAAAAAATCACAAATGGACATACTGGAAGGCTGTAAAAGCTTATCGGGAAGTGGATTTTAATAAGCATATAAATTGTTTAAGACGTGTTTTGCCTCAATGTGCTCAAACACTAGAAGATGTCGGGTTTGAAAGATGGTCAAGAGTACATCAAGTTGGAGCAAGATATGGTTTCATGACGTCTAATAGTGCAGAATCAATCAACGCTCTAAGTCGTCATTCCCGGAAATTATCCATTACTATGTTAATGGAGTTTTTTCGAGCCTCTATTCAACAGTGGTACTACAAGAAAAGAAACCATACAGGTATTATTTCTTTAAATTCGTAACTTATCATATATTTTACTAATGATTATTTATTTAAATTTACAGGAATATTGGAACGTCGTGTTACACCATGGACTAAAAAAAAGATAGCGAAACGTGTTGTGAAGTCAACGTCATGGAGAGTTGAACCATGTTCAAACACTTTGTTTGAAGTATTGGATAATAACTTAAATGAGCTTGTCGATTTAAATGCAAAGACGTGTAGTTGTAAGAAATGGCAAACATCTGGTTATCCGTGTGGCCATGTTATAAAAGTTGCTCTTCATCTAAACCAAGATGATTCAAGCGCATACGCTATGGATTTCTACACTACAGAAGTATATCGACAGACTTATGCCGAGATTGTCTACCCATGTCTACATCCTTCTGAGTGGGACATACCAGATGACTTACAAGCAGTTTTGCCACCAGTCATGGACAGCAGGCTACCTGGCCGACCAAAAAATCACGATCGTATACCGTCTAAGGGTGAAGAGAATAGGATATCGACATATAGTCGGTGCAAGGAAAGTGGTCATACAAGGTTGACCTGTGGATCACCAGTGCCATCACAATCATCTTTTCCTCTACCAAAAAATGGATACTCATCAAAATCTAAAGCTCATATGGTGTCAAGCAAAAGGAAATCAAAATCGCAATCAAAATCAAAATCCCAATCACAACTGGCTTCACCTTTTGGGACTTATTAACTTAGGTGATTTTTAAATGCAAACATTGTATTATGTGTATTTTATGTGTGAATGCATATATTTTCAGTTAGACATTCATTAGTAACTTGAGTTTGAACATTGTTATGATCTATTCAGTTGTTATCATGTTGGGAT